GAAAAAAAAAATCACATTTAGTAGGTGAGCATGATTTACAAAATGCTACTGTGAAGGGGTTTGCAGGGAAGCAGGGCAGAGCTTTCTGCAGGCGGTCTGGGTTTATTTTAATGCACAAACCTAATCAACTATTCCAGGACTTGTCACTCAAAAGTAATAGCAAGAAGATGCCTCAGAAGCCTGCATTCTTCTTGTTCTCTCACCCCTCTCTTCAGATACGTACAGTGGATTGGGTTCAGATCCTCAGAACTGGAGAGAGGAGTATATAAATAATCAGTAACTGTTGGCTATATGGAAAAGTCCCATCTTTAAATTGCGGTCCAGAGTCTTCTTACAAGATCTTACAAAATCACCCATAAAGCTATAACAAGGTCTCTCTGCTTGCTATCTCATATTTCTTCCTCCTTCTCTCAGCTGAAAGAGGGTGTTTTTTATCTCTGCCTCTAGATCCAAGGACTGTTTTCTCCATGACTTCTCCAATGAGCTCACTCAGGGTACCCCACGAAATCCATCAAATGTTTGTTTTAGTAATCCATCCGGTATTCTGTTCCCCTATAGCATTCACTGTGGCAGTTAAATCCAAATACTTCACAAAAGAAGTGCATATAAAATGAAAAGGTTTCTTTACCAAATCAAGAAAAACAGCTAATAAGAAGAATCTGACTGGAAGTTTGCTAACACATATTTTTGGAACAGAGAAGCAAAGAAAAGAAGGAAAGAAGATGAGAGAAATGGTCAAGAGGAACCTGAGAAAGGACAGGACAGAGACCAGGCACTGAATCTGAAAACAGATGAAGTTGCAAGGGAACTCTGGAGATCATCCCATGCATCGGCCTACTCAAAACACAGTCAACCACAGCAGATTGCTCAGGACTGTGCCCAGTCCTCTTCTGAAAATCTCCAAGAATGGTCACTCCACAATCTCTCTGGGCAACCTCTGCCAGTATTCAGTCATCTTCACACTGGAAATCTTTTTCCCTAGGTATAAACGCAATGCTCTGTATTTCAGTTTACACCCGTCATCTCTTGCACTCTCACAGGGAACTGCTAAGAGGAGTCAGTCTGTTCTTCAACCTGAACAAAGAGGAGCATGGCCATCCTAGATGCAAACATCTGATCATAAGGATTTTTTTCCCTTTACTGAGGTTTACTCTCTTCCAAATGCTCAATACCATGATTATCCTTGCAAAAGTTGGCAGATAAAGATACAAACACAAGCATTTCCTGAGAAAGTAAGGACTCTTAAAATATAAGATTATTAGGATACTATCCTGATTCAGTTGGGTATGTCTCCTAAGAAATTATGGTACTTCTTAAAAATCAACATTTTATTAACTCTGTTTAACAAGAAAAAATGCAAGGATGTTTCTTCCTTCAGAAAAACATCCCATATACACTTTCAGTTATCCAAGTTTCTGTGAGGAAAGTACAAGAAAATTATTTTCTCCCATATGAAAAGAAGCACTAATAGTTTCGAAGGACAGCAGCCTCAGGGTGTGTCACCAGAGACTAGGACAAGAAGGTAGAAGGACAATACTCATCATTTTGTATAAAGTTCCCAAGACTTAACAGAAAGTACATTTCCTCAGAAAGTGCTGGAGTACAAGAACACACCTTAAACATCAACCCTCCCTTTGATCTGACACTTCAATATTCTTCCTACCAAGAACTGCTGCAGAACGTCTCTGTTTCTTTCTGCAAGTTCAACTGGAGTTGCTGCTTTTGATGTACACAGCATTGCCACAGATGAGAACTAAAGGCCATGGAGCAATTTACACTGTTTTAAAGTTAGAGAGATCAGTAGCTAAGGTACATGAGGGAAATTCCCAAGTAAACATAGCTGAGATGAGCATATCACTAACTTCTGTATTTGAGTTCATCTAGGAGAGGCAAGTGCATATAGAAACTATCCATTCTATGCTAATGGAGTAAGAGAATGAACTAATACCCCACAGAGACAGGGACCTTTCATCAGAAAGGCATAAAGAAAAATCTTGTTTGAGACACTGGATCTCTGTCTATTTAGATGATGGAAGATCTTAAAACTCATCTTTCTTCTGTCAGGAGACACACTGGTATGAGGAGTTCTCCATAATGGAAATCAAACTTAGATCCTCTCCCAAAATGCATTTGTATCTCCTTCCAACTACAGAGTTGAATGAAAGAACATGGAAGCAAAAAGCTAAAGTGGGGAAAAGCTCTGAAATAATATAATACAGAAGAAGGTCATTCTCTGGAAAGATTTTAAATATTGTCCTTTGACTTCTTAACAACATAATTTTTCAACTGTTTTATAAAGCTATGCACTTTCTATTGACTCATCAAGAAAACAATATTTTGGTTTTGTTTGTTTTGCTCTTGTCATGTTATGTCAATATGACACCCTGGTCAATATGAAACCCTGATGCTGACCTTAATGGATTCCTGACAGAGGACCCAGCACTGCAACTTAAAATGCTGTCAATTGCTGTTTAAATGAAAATAAAAACAACACATATACTCATAAAATATTTAATGGTGTTTCCTTTGCCAATTCCTACTGCTTTGCTGAGCAAAACAAACAATAGTTCTAAAGCTGCAGATTTTGAAAAAACACTTGGGAGTCCTGCAGTTAAACACAGGGTTGTGCCTCTTCAGAACTAAAAGCATTAAAGATGTTTACTTAGAAACTAGGAAGCAGCTATTACTGTAGAAAAGCATTTATCCTTATTCAGAAGTTAACATAATTTTTTACATTACCTAACACAGAATTTGCTCAATCCCAAATTGTCAACTGCATTGGCAGGAGGCTCAAGCAGCTCTGATGAAGACTGAAAGGTAGTAATAATGTGACTCTATCCAGCCAAGTTTGGTTTCATGTGAAAGGCTTTTCTTGAACCATGCACACACTCTTTTCTATTGCACAGCACTGAAACCTGAACAACACCAAATTATATCCCATGTATTTGTTTCAGCTGGGAGGCTTCCAACTTTCCCTGAAAAGATAGGACAATGGACTAGATCGCCAACAGGACTGATTCGAGACTTCAATTCCTCTGTCCTTACACTCTTCAAAGTATTACAGAAACTATTCAGAATTCACAGTTCTATTTTATGACAAGATTTAAATTGGATTAGGAAAAGTTTCTGGAATCTTTATTTCAGTCTTGAAATAATTTACAGGCTAGGCTACTTAACACAGTCTAGATGTGAATCAACCACAAGGAAGCAAATGATGATCAAAAACATCATGGCCTTTCTTCCAAGTAGGCAATTTTTACCCTTATAATTTAGAATTATATTTGGATCTGCAAATCTTTTGCTGACTACTAATACTGAAAAAGACACATTGTACAAATTAAGGGTTTCTGTCCATTTCCAAGTTTTGAGTAGATCCTTATCTCAAATTTTATGCCAGTGCACTGTGAACAGTTGCAGCAAGTTTATTCATAAGCTAACTCCAAGTTTCTTGTTGATACTGCTTATCCAGTCCTAGAATACAAGCTCTCAGTTTACAAATAGAGAACAATACCAGAACAAGTTTCCTTATGCTTCCAAAGTGCCATGGAAGCATGTTTTAGATAGGTTAGGGAAATCCATTTCTCCTATATTCTCTGGAAAGAAGAGTAAAATTTTATTATTATTATTATTAATATATTATTTTTCCCCTGAACCCCAACATTTTCTGTGAAACCACTAAAAAATAGTGGGCTCAAAAATTATATTCTTTTAAATAGGCCTGTAAAACGTACAGTTTAGAAGTTCTTAACCTCATGGCAGAATGATAACTCTGGTACACAGAACAACTGAACTACAAGAAAATGAAGCAAACTCCACTCTAAAATCCACCGAAGTCAAGAGATGTACAGTCCATGAACTGTCCTCTTTCTAGGTGGCAGAATTTCAGCATGAAAGATTTTCTCTAAGTTTTATATTCAATAACTGTAACGGCAAAAGGTAAAGAATTTTTTTTAATGTATATCATGCTGATTACCATTTCTCTTTAACACTTTTTACCCATTAACCCAAACAAGAAAGCTCTTGTTGTCTACTGTCTGTTTTCTGCTACAGGTTTTTATGGCATTGACAATGATAGCTATCAATGTATAATAAGAGATTGCAACTAAAACACAATAGATAAAAAACACCATAACTTTCATAAAATAAAATGCAATCAAATGTTATCAGTTGCCTTACACAGCCAGGCCAACTTCCAGCGCTGCATAAAATCAAACAATATAAAAGTGATATTGGAGAGTGGAGGAGACGAGGGATTTTCAGATATTAATGAATTAATATCAACCAGAACTTCATATTATGGTAGTTAGCAAACATTGTATTTGGGTCACCTAAGTCTTCATTGCTATTTTCTTCTCTTTTTTCCCCCTTTTCTTTTTACATTTTAATTTAAATATATTTCTTATTAACTTATACAACTTTTGATTGATAATGTATTTATCACAATTGGATTACAGATTGCCTCACATATCACAGAGTCACATAGAATCACAGAATACTCATAGATATGAGAGATATAACACATCCATAAAATAATCAGTCAGTCAGTTCAGTGTTGACAAATATTAAAGGCTTCTAAATATTTGCTAATGACAAATTCATTGTTTGTTAATCACACAGCTATTTTATGATTAAGTTTAACGCAGCCTAACAACAATGGTTTGTCTAAGGCAAATGAACCCTTTTTGGGTTGAGCTATAACATGTCAAACATTAAAAGCTATTTAGATACTTTGTATCTAAATTTAGATACTTTGTATCTAAATTGCTGAAAATGAAGGATTTCACTGACATCAATGGACATAGTAGTACAGTAACTAGTATAGTGAGATCAGAAATAAAATCTTGAGTTTTGCAGTGTTATACCAATGTACAAATATTTTCTAAAATTACACTGGAGTGCTGCTATGTACGCACAAAGAAATACTAATACTACTTTGAAAAACTACAGAGAAGTGGACTGACAGTCTAATATTAACAAGACAAAAGAAATATTTCATTTACCTGACTTTGCAATTCACTTTGTTGCTTCAGGCGAAGATTTTCTGGTGTATCAGCCACTGTAGTGAAGGACTGCTTTGGGTAATGTCTAGAAGAAGAAGAAGAAGAACAAAGCCAAACGGTAAATATTTGCACATGCTAGAAAGTCATCCCAGCACTCTGTCCTACAGAATGCTGCAGAATTCTTTCATTGTTTGCTATGAAGTAGAAGTATTTACTCTAGAAATATTGTGTCAGACATGCTTTGCAGAAACAACACGAACGAGTTCCTGTAATGAGTCTGTCCCACCCATTCATCCCACCCACTGACTTCAAAGACCAATCATACAAAATTTGTTTTCAATAGAGTGAACAAAACTGTGTTTAACTGCATTGTCTTGGTATAGTGCTGAACAAAGACTAAACTAAAAGCCATTAAAATTGAATTGTTTTACAGAAACCAAAGTGACATAAGAGAGTACAGCCATAGTACCACAGTGTCTTAAAACCACTAGTGCAGAAACCAGAAGGATCAAGGCAGGTACTTCCCAGATAGAGAAAAGTCAATTGCTTTAATGGTAAATAGGTCAATACAGTACTGTAGTATCCAGTACCAAAGGCTGTGGTGTCTCAGAACTGCAATCTTTCAGGCATCTCTATTTCCATTTGAAATTTTACACCTTTACAATATATTCCAATTATTTGCTTTGGCATTTCATGGTCATGTGCTCTAGGGGACCCTTGCTTGAGCAGGAAGGTTGGACTAGATGACCTTGAGTGATCTTCCAATCTCAGTCATTCTGTGATTCTGTGAACTGTAGCAATCAAACCTTACTCATTTACGGAACCACTATTTATTAATTTTCATGGATTTATCCTACAACTTTACTGTCAAACAAGAAGTTCAATTAAAGCCCACAAAAAGAAGGAAATAACAAAACAGCACATCCCAAAATAGATATATTTGTATGATACAGAAACACCATAAGAAAACTGATTCTGACTAATTATTTTCCATCATCTTCTGTGTGAAACCAAAATGTTCACTTTACAACCATGTGAGGCACTCATGTCTTCAGTTACCATTCACAGCTTCCCATGTCTGCCAGCTACCACATTTGTGCCTTCAACATTTCAGAGTATAAGACAACGGGCATAGCATTTCAGACACAGTAACATTTGCAGCACAATTTCTACAGAAGAAGGAAGGAGTAAGTGTCTGAAGATTGAGGATATGAAGCATTAAACATTTCCATGTTCAAACTCCAGCTATCTCTAATGTGTTCTTCCAGTAACTAGTTCAGTTGTTATAGCTTCATCATAAAATTTCTGTTCTGTGTAAAGATGATACATATTTTCATTCAGAACTGTATTTTGTTAGAAAGTTTTCTGCTTATAAGTTCAATTTCCATGAAGTGCATGGTTTCAGTAAAAAATTGTTTATCAGAAAAAAATAAAGCATTCGTGAAAAATTAAGGAGGATTTCAGTTTTTAGCCAAAAGATGAATGTTTCCTTCTCAGAAATGCAAAAGCAATACTTGATGAAAAATGTTGTCTGGACTTCATGCAGTAGACTGCTCTAGGTCTGATCGCCCCCATCAGATGACAATTTGCATTGCCAGACTTGCACATCACAGCACAACAGAGTAGACTCATGCACCAAGAGGCTGTGGAACATCCCCTCATTTATGGTGTCATTGCACAGGGAAAAGAGAGTAGAAATACAGGACAACCTAGGGATTTCAGGTTCCCAAGGAAAAATAACTGCACAGAAAGAGCAAAAAATAAACACTTTTATGGAAGAAAGATTTCCTCACAGAAGTGTAAGAATCATTCCAGGTTGGATACTAACAGATGGACAAATAACGTCACTCTTGAGTTTATGGTGAGATACCTTCCCATCTATTATGTCAGCCACTTGTCTCAGAGAGCTCATGTCACTGAAAACTAGAAAACAAAATTTCTAGGCATGACACCCTCCAGCCTATTCTTTTGGAGTTACAGCCAAGTCTACCTTGGGGCAAGGAAATATTTCCAGAAGGGCTTCTCGTTTTTTTCTTTATTTCTTTATTTCACTATCTTCTAACTATCTCACCCTTCCTTCTTCTGCATAGAGGCAAAAAACAAATGCCAGACTGGCCACAAGGATGGTCATAAGCCCTTTTTGGAAAGCAGCAATGGACAGATGGGGAAGGCAACAAGCCACCTCACAGTTAGGCATTGCTGCTATCCAAGGAAGATTGTAGCAATGGTGCATAATTCACACCTTAAAGCATTGCAGACTTCCACATAGTAGGCATGAGATATCCACAGATAACTCCTGTAGATGACAGAATCCATATCCCTAAAAACTGCATTTGTCACACGTGCAGTTAAAAATTACATTATGCACATGTTGAATGCTGAAAGCATTTCTGTAAACATTCATAGCACTGCTTTACACCATGATTACATGTCATGACCCTGCTACCAAAATCACAGTAATCACCTGTGTTCATCCTTTTTAACACTGAGAACACAGAGTGTGTGCCAGCTCAGATTGGTTTTTTGGCCTGGTCCCCTTGTGAAATGAGTGGACAATGCTGAGGCAAGCGTCTCAGCCACAGACCCCAGGGACGCTGTTAGCAACAGCAGCAGAGAACTACAAACCCAGGCTCCTAAATTAAGCCTCTCTATTCTGAAGCACAGGGACATACACTTTGTCGCTATCATGCACCACCTCTCCCTTCTGATCATTTGCAAAAGAAATGCTTTCTTGCACAATTAGTATTCAGAAGCCCACAGGTATTTCAACAGTCCAAGCAAACCACTTCAGAACCAATGTATCTGAGTTCATTATTTATTTTAGAAGCATTAGCTCCATACTTCAAGTAAAAAACGTATACTTAGTCTTGAATAAGCACTGCTTTAGTATGCTAGAAAATACTATGTAAACTGATTTTATCAATGAAAAGTATTTATACTTGACAATGGAAATAAACAATACACATGACAAGTGAACAAAACTGTTGAAATTTAAATCAGCCTTTAAACTGATCATATAAACCAGTTACCAAAATGTATTACAGTGATTAAAATAAGACTCATTAAACAAAATTAAATTAGCAGTGCATTCTACTATGGGTTGTCATTTTAACTGCAGCTGATTTATGAAACCACTCACATGGTATATCAAACCAGAAAGACATGGGTTTAGATACATCCCTTTTAATTTATGGAAATTCTTGCCTCAAATGCATTAAAAAGACTAGTGTTAAATTTAAATCCTATCTTCAGCTTTCCACATTTGTTTTAAGCTTACTGATAACATGTCTTCAGGATAATTATCAGTATTTAAGATACTAAATTATGTAAAAACTAAGATAATTGTACCACTGGATACTTTTGACTGAAATAGAAGGCTGAAACACAAGTGTTAAAATTCACAAATCTGCTTTTTTAACTAATATTTTAGGGCTATACCATGTTTTGTCAACATGTTCTGAATAAGGATGAGTAACCGGATGGCAACAGCCTTTAATTCAAAAGGTTGACAGTGGTCCCTGGTAATCCGTTGCTCAGTTTCCCTTTTGTCCAAGAGGATGTCTGAGAAAGAGCCAGGAATTGGTTAAAGAGATTGATCTCATGTCAGCTATTTAATAGCAATGTCCAAAGGATTTTTTTGTTTGTTTTAAGTCTTTGTTAGTTGTCTAAGTCTACTTAGCAATATGTCTTACCACGCTAATGCTATTAGGATTAATCCTGTATAAAGATCTATACAAAAAGGTCCAGAACAAATCAGGATACACAGTATGGTGTCTCTGCTGTGGGTTACTGTATTACTTGCTTCAGCTGCACAGCTTGATTAATAAATCAAACCACAACTCAGTCTCCAGCTCCTTATGAGCAAACTCCTTCACTTTCGATATTTGGAAAGAGTATTAGTAAAATCTCCAAGAATTCAGGAAAGTACCTGAAAGCTTCCTAGCTTTTCCAATGACTAAACATAGAAATTTTCCCAAATACTTGTTTAGTTGTACAGTTTTCATCAGCTTTTCCATGCTCTCAAACCAACAAAAGGGGAAAAAAACAAAATCAAACAAACAAACAAAAAAACACCTCATGTCCTGAGAGAATGGAATGAAGATTCAGCTTTCTCTCTTTTGGAAAAGGTTATATTCAAAGATTGAGATAAATTCAAGCATCTACTGAAATTAACTTGCTCATACCTCATGCAGACTTAAGTAACATTTACAAGATGACTAAGAGATTTGTGTGTGTGTGTGTGTGTGTGTATTTTCTGACTGTAACAAACTGTTACTGTCCACAGCTAGAGAATTATACCTTTTGTCAGATTTACTGGATTTCTATTGGGCTATTACTCCTCTAGAATAGCTGTTCAGTATTTGCCTGCAACATTAAATTTGTGATACCTTTTAACCAGAGAATGGACACAAAACACACAAATCAAAATTATTCTCCCAAGCAGAGGGTCAGCTCCATCACATATTTTCATAACAATAATCACCATCATTGGCAGTCACCTTAGGCTATATCTGTCCTCTCCTAAATATTGTCTATAACTGTTTGTCTAATTAAAGCAAACTGTAAAAGATAAAGAGATTAAAAGAAAAAAAATCACTTATTTTCAGTTGCAGTAATACAGAGTGGAACAAAATAAACCTGAAAAACAACATAATAAAATCTTAAAAGAATTACAAAAAACTCTAAAAGCTAGTAAAGCTTTTTAAACTAGCACTTCAGTACAGTGTAAGCAAAAACTGCAAATTGAAATTAAATAGTAAATAATGATGTCAGAGTTTGGATGCCACCCAAGCTCACAACAACTGAAGGACAGGTAGGGAAGCTCAATCTTGGACCTGCAAGGGCCCAATCTGCTCAATGTTATCTGAGCCCACGTCAATAAACAGCACAAAAACACAGAGAAGAAACACAGGAGATCTCCAATTAAGTCTCATATAAGAGACATGAGATAAAATAATTTATTCAGGATAAAGGTGACAAGATATTAAGTTGTGCTCATCTCAGGAGTTTTTAAACCAGCAGTTTGGAGAGGCACAGGGCTACTTTCATCTCCTTACCTTAAAACTGTGCATTCACAGAAAGACA